TTTACACCATTAGAGACCTTCTGCATAAGTAAAAAGCCTTTGCTCCTAAGATTTAGCCGTTGTTTCATTTAAATTTACCAATAAAATCACTAAACTGAATAGAAAATAAGAATAACAGAGCAGCTTATGTAACGCATGCAGGTTATATCACCTAAAATGGTCACACAATGACCTCTGACCCCTCCTTGGAAAGGTTTGAGCCTCTAGTTTCTAATGATGGCGGCCATTAGGGGGCGGGGCTAAAAGTTAATCATGCTGTTGCATTACTCCCGCAGTGTCACACGTCAGGTGGAATTTTAATTCTCATTTTGTTTACACAGCTATAAAATAAATATTATTTTGAAACATATTTTAGAAATTTTAAAGCCACATTTGAAAGGCATGCGGATGAAACACCATGTCACGTCTAAGCACCTAAAACATCATTCATACATACAGGAAAAGAAAGAAGGCACAGAGACAATTAATTTAGGTTTATTTGCGAGAAGAGTAGGAAGAGACTGCAGAGTTTACAAATCTCCTCCCCACTCTGCCAGTCTTTAGCTTTCTCCTCACCATTTATTAAAGTCAGGGGATGTCCCTAATTACACAAGCTGAGGTTTAACTAAAGGGAAAGGGAAACAAAATGATCTTACTTTAAACCTCAGCATATAAAGCATGTGGTTGTTTTACAAATGAATTGTTCCAAGAAAACATGTTTAGAAGAAACGACCTTAAGCAAGAGTTAATAAACGATGAATCACACATTATACATCATAATAGTTCATTAGTAGTATTACTAACGTATAAATAAAACATTTCTAACACACCATGTGACTGTGTTTTGTCCATTTCTATAAATAGCTAAACATGAGCAGGTGTCAGCTGGGCCCGGTACCGGGTCGGCCAGGTTTACGGGGTTAGAAAAGGCTTTTAAAGACGCCCAGATGTTTGGTCGCTTCTGATTGGCTCTTTGCTCCTCAGGCTACAGCGTGTTTGCCATCGGCGTGGCCGACGTGGATTTCGTGGAGCTGCAGGTGATCGGCAGCAAGCCCAGCGACAGACACGTCTTTGTCGTGGACGACTTTGACGCCTTCGACACCATCAAAGAAAATCTGATAACCTTCATCTGCGAAACCTCAACGTCCAGTCAGTTGAAAACTTTTTCTGTCAGAAAGTTTAAAGAAAAATAACCTAAAAAAAAAACGTTCCTCACTGAATCTCTGCCCTCCTCCACAGCCTGTCCTTTAATCTACGTCAACGGCTTTACTTCCCCGGGTAAACACGACCACGCTAACGTCTAAAGACGCTGCGTCCTTTAGCACCTGCTGTGACAGGAATCCTCCCCTTTACGCTCGTTGCTTTTGTCCCCCCAGGATTCAGGATGCTGGAGGCCTTCAACCTGACAGAGAAGACCTACAGTTACATCCCAGGAGTCTCCATGGAGCCCGGGTCCTTCAACAGCTACACGGCATATAGGCTTCACAAGAACGCCTTCGTGAACCAGCCCACCACGTGAGTACCAGTACGGACTCGTGTTCTCGCCAAGTACGTTCTTGAGAAGAACCCAGGAAAGTCTGGACTCTGGTAGAACGGGAGCGCGCAGAATAAATCTGGGTCGATTGGAACAGAAGCTACTGATGACATCACCACATTCAAAGCTCGTCTGGAGCTGCATTTCACCTCCTGTTATTAATAGTCTCTAGACGATAATAAATTCGTACCTTTTTCCTTTATTAGGGGAATAACGATTAACACAGCCAGATAAACACAAATCAAATGAACATTTTTCCAAGTATAACGAAAAAAAATCGCCATCAGAGCCAGCGGTCCTTCACACTTAAAACCTACTTTCATTAAACAACAGCAACAGAAAAGAGAACTTTTAACTTAATCCTCTGAGCTCTGTGAGCGCTAACCTGGAAGCTGCTGCCGCAGTGCATGCTGGGACAGCTGTCAGTCAGGAGGACGGACAAGTCTGCTCTGATGCATGCTGGGTAAAGAGGGAGGGGCCAGAACAACATCCGGGGACTTTGTCCGTTCTCAGTCTTCTTGTTCTTGTGAATTGGAACAGTACTAGAACTGAGGGTGATGACGTTTCACGAGGACACGAGAACGCACAAGCACATAGATTGAGAAATGGCCCCTGACTATAGCAGTCGGATTTTCTCCCATCTAACCAGCAGGTCTGTGTGTTTCTGTCCCGAACAGAGAGATGCACCCAGACGGCCTTCCTCACACCTACACCATCATCCTGATGTTCCGCCTGCTGCCCGACTCGCCCTCAGAAGCCTTCGACATCTGGCAGGTGTCCACCAAAGACCACAAGCCGGAGACCGGCGTCACCGTGGACGGTACGCGTCCTGTGATCTGAGCCAGAGAAACGAGCGTGAAGCGCGGAGCAGCTGTGCCTCCATCTCAGCCGATGGCGGAGAGGCTGATGTCATGGAGCCGCTCAGCTGGTTCTCGTAAAGCTGATGTTTCCATCTTTCAGATGAGGATCATCAGCTGCTCTCAGTTAAAACACGGCCCTTTGAAGTTAGAGTCAGAGTTTAAAGGTCCCTCTGCCAGAGAGACCTACAGCTCTCCTACTAAACTCGCTCCACTGGCCCTCCTCAGATTTAGATCCTCCTGTAAACCATCAAAGGTTCTCCAGGATTTCTACACGGCTGTCAGAGTTCTTACTTCTCTCATTCTTCCTTCAGTTCTACGGTAGTTCAGTTCTAAGCCGGGATCTGAACAGATGCAATGAAGGGATTACTGATTCGGATTGGTTTCCTGGTTCAGATTAGTTTCCTGATTCTGATCTGATTCCTGATTCTGATCAGTTATCCAATTCGGATTCATTTCCTGATCCGAATCTGATTCCAGATTCAAATTAGATCTTTGATTTGGATAAACTTCCTGATTAGGTTCTGTTTCCTGATTCACACCAGTTCCCTGATTCGGATCAGATTCCAGATTCAAGACAGAAAAGGGATTTGAATCAGTTTCCTGATTCTGATCTGATTCCTGATTCTGATGCAATTCCTGATTCTAATCAGTTCTCCAATTGGGATTCATTTCCTGATCCGAATTTGATTCCAGATTCAAATAAGATCTTTGATTTGGATAAACTTCCTGATTGGCTTCTGTTTCCTGATTCACACCAGTTCCCTGATTCGGATCAGATTCCAGATTTGGATCAGAATCCAGACTCTTGTTTTGGATCCATCTGATTCTGATCAGATTCCAGATTCAAGACAGAAAAGTGATCTGAATCAGTTTCCTGATTCTGATCTGATTTCCAAATCCAAACATATACCAGAATTTGATTACTCCTGATTTGGAAAATTGTCTTATTTTTGCAGGTTTTCTTCTTATTCTTATCATTATTCCTGAATCTGATCCGATTCCAGATTCAATGCAGAAAATTGATCTGAATCAGTGTCACGATTTTGATCTGATTTCAGATTTGAATCATATTCCAGATTTTGATTAGATTTCCTGATGTGAACCGTTTCCTGATTTGGATATACTTTTTTATTCTGGTTATTATTATTGATGCGGATCAAATTCCCAATTCTGATCAGATTCCAGATTTGAACCGGAATCCTGATTTGGATCTTTTTCACAAATGTCATCTGATTTCGAATCATATTCCAGATTAAAATAAAACCTCCTGATGTGGATCCATGTCCTGATCAGGTTCGGGTTCCTGATTCAGTCTGAACTATTCCATCTCCTCCCAGGCTCCGCTCAGACCATCTCCTTCTACAACAAAGATGAAACCGGAGAGATCCAGAGAGTCACGTTTGACGAAGGTCTGGTGAAGACCATCTTCCACGGAAGCTTCCACAAGGTAAAGACTCGGGTTCTCCTTAATCTCAGCTGGCTTCTGTAGACATTGGAACCAGATTCTGCAGCGATTTAGTCTGGAATAAAGTGAAGTGAATCAGACTGAGGCTGTTTTATCTCTGAGTTGTGTAACGTCTTCTGCTCTGAGGGGAAAAACTTCAAAAGAAGCATCTCTCTCTGTTTTCCCTGGACGTCTGGAGATCCTCCACATTCCTCACATTCCGAATGTGTTAGAAATCGGAGTCATGGGAAGAAAACATTTATTCCCTGGTCCTGTCAGGGAATGCAGACAGCGCCACCTGCAGGTGCTGAGAGGCAGCGCAGCTCCTGCTGAGGCGGAAGAAAAAGTCAGAGCAAATCTGCGTTTTTAGAGAACGTTAAGATTCCAGATTCAACACCTTTGATCCGCAACCCCAGAGATAAGCGACTCCAACAGTTTTTCCTGTGGTTCTGAGAGAGGTTCTGGTTCTGGAGGGAGGTGTTCTGACGAAGGACGGACTTCTGGAAGATGAAAACCATGGCTGTTCCCAGGACCTCCTAGAGGTCAAACCGGCTCAGGGTTCTGATGAAGGATCAGGCTCGGGTCCAGCTGGTTCCACAGCCGGATTTTGCAGTAGATCAAGAACTTTTCAGCAGGCTTTAGGGGTCCAGAACCATCCCAGACTCTTGAAGATGATACCGGTACTGAGCTTGGATGAACATCTGCAGGGTCTCTCTGGGCTGTTTGTCCAGTGCCGAAAGTTCTGGACTGGGTTCCTCCTTTGTTCTGGTTCCCGGAACTGGAGCCGTTCCTTCCTCACCCCCTCCTCCTCTGGGACTCTGCGGTTGGTTTGGACCCGTTTCCGGTGGATCTGGACTTCAGGCCCGAAGCGTTAGTTCAGCACCAGGGTGGAGAGCGGGGACTCCTCAGACGTTCTGTCCCTTAGCCCAGTTGGTTCTGATCCAAACCTGTTGACTGATGCTTTAAAGTTGTGAATCGGGTCAGAACCAAAACGTCTTCTTCTTTCCTTCTTTCCAAAGCTCCACATCATGGTTTCATCCAACAGCGTCAAACTCAACGTGGACTGTCAGGAGGTCGCTGAGAAGAAGATCAAGGCCGCTGGGAACACGTCCAGAGACGGATACCAGGTCCTGGGAAAGATGTCCAAGTCCATCGGGTCTAAGGGCAAGTCTGCAACGGTGAGTCGGCGCCAACAGAACCAGGAACAGTGAACTCCGTTTGTCCCGTCCAATCAGAAACTGGTTTAAAAACAGAACAAAGAAAGACAGGAAGTCCTGAGAGGATGATAACAGAACTCTGGGTTCAGAAACCAGCAGCTTAGGGGTTGAAAGGCCAAAGGTTTCCCTCAGATCCTCCCTTATGGCTTTAAGTAAACCTTCGTCTTGACGGTTGGAGCCTGAGCTCAGTGTGCAAAGGATGCCATGTCCTCTTAACGGCTGTTATTGTCCCGCAGCTGTTTGTCGCAGTTAGCTTGTCGCAGGTTTGACGCAGATATTTTTGATTTATGCCTAATTTAGAAGCGTAGTCTGCGCCCTTATTCCACGCCACAACGAAGAGGGACAATCAGGAGCTAGCTAGGATTGATGGCGTCCGTGTGTCGGTTTGACGAGCTTGTTCGCCGTCTACAACCCCTCATCCAACGCCGGACGACACACAGTTCCCCCGTGAGTGTTCCCCAAAGACTGCGTGTTTAGCTTAGCGTGCAAACCAACAGACCGTCGCTCAGAGCTACAAACTAGCGTCCTGCACGGTGTCTGGGATAGAGTCCGAGGCGTGCCAGGCGCTGTGGGTGGAGCTACTGCCAGAGTTTCTGCTATTAGGGACCAAACAGGAAGTACACATAGAGTAGAGCGGATGGAGAATTGACCAATCAGAGGCCTCCTGTCTGCGACATTATCTGCCGTCACCTGCAAATTTGGGGAGGTGTTTTCGGAAGGGGTGGGGCTTATACGTGTTAACCGCGACACGCAGACGCAGCCTGGTTTCAGAGCAGAAACCAGGCTGTAGTCTCTCTAGTTCTAAAGACCAGAGTAAAGTTTAACTCCAGACCTAAACCACGTCCTTTAGATTATAAACCTAAACCCCGCCTGGAGCTCAGGTTACCAAACCAGAACACCGTTCCAAAAGTTAAATAAGGTTACTGAAGGTCATGGTTCCACAAACAGCCTGGGATCCCAAAACTAACAATGACCTAAAAATAATGATGTTTATTTATACATTTAATGGAAAACAATTAAAGCTTAGATAAATGATTACCTTCATTTAAACAAAATATATGTCCTGAGATAGATCAACCTATTCTCATTATGAGTGCGTATGAAATCGTACTAAAAGTTATGCACCGTAATTTCGTACGTTTTGGACGTATTTTTCATCGTATGCGCATGCGCCTCTGACGCACCATTCACGAATATAGAATATAAATTACAATTAGCCCTAACCCTGACCTAATCCTAACCCTAAGATATAAAACAGCAAGCAAAGTAGTTAGGGACATGAAGAAGGGATGATTGCACTGTCTTTCCCAGTTTTACATCCGTCCGCGGATCTGCTTTTTTTTCTGTCTTCATGCGCACTGATGTGTTTTTTTTGAGGAAAAACGTCCAAAACGTACGAAATAGTGTGCATAACTTTTCGTACGATTTCATACGAACTGATAATGAGAATATGTTGGAGATAGATAGATAAATAGATTTAGATAGATATAGATAGGTAGATATTGATAGATGATAGATAGATAGATAGATAGATAGATAGATAGATGATAGATAGATATATAGATATAGATAGATAGATAGATAGATAGATAGATAGATAGATAGATAGATAGATATAGATAGAT